AGTTTTAGTGAACTATAATAAAACACCACACTGTATTAGATCATAACAGTTGACCTGAAATCTTTAATCAGAATGAAAACAGTGTTATTGCAAATGTTCTGGAATGTATTTTGTTCGGAAGGTTTTTGTCCTTTTGTATGTTATTCTGCTGCTTTTAAACTGTAACCCAACAATGCTGTAGCTCATATTTTATATGTTATTTATTATTTTTCTGCATAAACTCTGATAGCAGCTGTTATGTTGTGTGTATTTCTGATTCTGAAATAAACTCCTGTTTTCTCTGCACTTGTTTATGATGGAGTTTATTTTCTTCCGTCTAATCTTTGGTGGGAGGTCATTAATCAGTGATGAGGCGACTTTAAATGAAATGTGTTCATCCTCGTGGGGAAATTAGCTTGATAAAGTTTCATTTCAAGGGGAAGTTTTTCAATCTACACGGTCACATTCTCAGCATTCAAAGCTTTAACAGTTTCTCATCGCCGTCATTCAGCCGAGTATCGGGGGCTTTTGTGTGGAAGTCAGCCCGGGGGTTAATGCTAACAAAGCTCGGGGGCCAAAAGACTAGCGGTACTTTAGCTGCGCTTTAGCCAGGCTCCTATTTGTTTTAATCCCAGGTTAAAATGTTCAATGGAGTGGTCAGTCAAAGCGATTAGCGTCTTTGTCTGGAGCTAATCCCGCAGGGGTTTAGAGGCCATTCAATCCTGGAGTTTAAGCCTCTCTGTTCGCTTTAACACGGTGAGCAGCCAAGAGAGCAAAAGACACAGTAAGCAGGGGGGAAGTTCACCGGTGAGACTCTTACTGCTCAAATCCAGCCTGCTTTTTTAATTGAGTGTGTTTACATACACAGTTTCTGGAGACATCATATCCTGCTCTCAGAAATCTGGATATTCATGAAGAACTCCAACAGAAACCAGAATACTGCGGCAAATAAACTTCTCATCCAGGTTTCTGGTTACTGTCATGTTTGCACTTGATGCATGAATTATAACGACATCTGCCAGTGTTTTTAGTAATAATAAGGATTTTTCCACATGTCCAAGTGGATAGAATGCGTTTGATTCCAAAGATTTTATATCATGTGAACATATATGTACTGTTAAACTACATACATATACATGGGATGCCCTTCAGGAAACTACTAAATGAATAATATTTAGACTGAAATCTGACGTTATCAAGGTACTGGTGCCATTTGATGTTTTAGATGTGCGATATATTTGTAGAGATGATGCTTCAAGACAGTCGAATCGCGCTCATTCACGTCCCTTACAGAAAAACAAACGCATGAATTTTCCATGTTTCCCTCATGTGTGATCATATTTACGAAAGATGCCTTCACATGTAGAGTCACAGTCACATAGGTTTCACATATTGCACCACAAAAATGTTGCTAAACCACGTTTCAAAGTATGTGGTCACATGTGAAATGAATGTGTATTTTCTGTAAGGGATTACTTTTTATATTATGTAGTTATAATAGTTTAATATTTTGCACCCTTTGAATAAAAAAGCGAGGCGGTCTTATAGATGCACGGACTGTGAGGGTGTTTTTCATACAATATAAAACAGCTGTGGACAGCACAGAGTGTAAGAATTCATCCACAGATCAGTGACTGATTTACTGACTCTCCTGCTTTTAACCACATGTTGCTGCTTCCTGTGCGTTGTGTTATTAAAATAGAGCTACAGTACTGTAGTACAGTAGTAACAGAGCCAATACTGGCCCTCTGCAGTAACATGCAGTATAATATTAGTCCTTCATCAAAAACACAAGATGGCGCAGTGCCTCAATCGTGTTCAATTTCACATTATGTATTTCCAAACCACTAATCAGTACACACATACAGTGTAGATTAAGCTATGTGGAAAACATTTGAACTATTGGAATAAACTATGTGTTATTATTTGTTCAATCTTGATCCTGACAGAAGTAGAAACTGAGACTTTTGAAATAATCTACTGAATAAATCGTGGGAAAGAATTTCAAATTCTTTCAGCTCATTTATTAAATATTAGCTTAAAGCATCAAAATTAAAACTATTTCTACCAGGACTAGCAGTTGAGAGGTAAAGATTTGTACTTAAAAATAAAAACTATAACACTTGCCTGCTCTGTTGGACTGGTCGATCATCGGCTGAACGATGCGCCGCCTCGCGTTGATGAACCTGAGAAAAGGGAAGAGGAGGGAAGATGAGGAGAGAAACAGAAGGGGAAAGACACAGTGACAGTTAATAAATGAGGTGGACCGGCAGTGTATGATTTCAATGTTTTGTCTCTAAAGCTGCAGAGAAACCCCAACTTCCTCCCTGCTCACAGAGAAAGAGCTCCGATTCACTGTGGGACACCAAACGCCTCACTGCACACAGAATATCTCAAGTCTGTCTGATATGTAATGTTTTCGTTCTTATTTTTGGAGCATTACTGGAAAGAAAAACTGGTTAAAACAGATGAAAACTGCTTTATGCAACCATGTGGAACATCATGAGCCAAGTTAACATCCACATGTATCAGTATCAGAAAGGCTAGTTGCTAAAATGTAGTTGGGAAGTCCAAAAAGCACGACAGAAAACAATGACATAAACATAAGAATAATGGATTATTATTAATACATTATTTAGTCAAATAGTTTAATTTCTGAAGTCTAAATGTTCAGTTTATAAGCTAGAACAGATTGGTTTTCATTAGCCAGTTTAAGCTTAACATTAAACTTCATTAGCTGAAGATTAGGTTTAGCAGCTTAAATAGTTTACATTAGGTTAGCTAGAGGTCTAATTTATAAGCTAACACAGGTTGGTCCAGGTTATTTTATTATTTTTGTTCAGCAGGTTTTTAAGTAAGCTGAATGTTCAGCATAGTAACTGTTTGTGTATCATTAAGGTTTAACAGCTGAAACCATTTGATTTACGTTAGCTTACAGCTAAATTTAGCAGCTAGCATTTAAACAGTTAATCTGATCTGTTTAATTAAGTTCTGATTTTATATACTTGCAGTTCAAATATAATATACAATAATTATATCATTTTATAATCAGGATAAAATGTATCAAATGAAGCTGTTTGTCACTTTGAACTACTGAAGAGAGAATTAACAGAAATGAACAGCACAGGTAACACAGGTGTTCATCCAGCGGGTATTAACCGGGTTCATACAGTGGCTGAAGTAACGGCGTCAGGCTTCAGGGGGCTGCAGCGGTGCATTCATACATGTCCTCTTCTAAGTACACTCTTGAAAGCCATCATCCTGGTATGCGTGACCTATGACCTGGCACTTCTGTGACCCCCCCCCCCCC